GCGCATCCTTCGGTCGGGGGCTTGCGCTGGCTTTCCCGGCCGAGGCGAGCCCAGTGGAAGTCGGGACTAAGCGGGGCCTGACGCAGACGGGGCCGCCGCCCCCGCCCCCGCCCTGAGGTGGCTGGGAAGCACGGCCGAGGGGCTGACTTCGACCCGTGTCCACGCCCGGGATACCTTAGGCCTAAAGGGATAGCTAGGAGCGAGACTTGGTATTAAAAGTGCAGTATTTTGGCCCGCATCGGGGTGTTCTGAGTGCAGGCCTGTTGGAGAGTGGGCGGTAGTGATGAGATGTTCGTTTAAAGACCTTGCCTCTGCCCCCCCAAGTGAAGGTGGAGGTGGCATTTTGCCTGAGAGGGTGTTCTGGAGCAAAGCAAGGAAAGCATAGGTTTAAAAACAGCTGAACTGGGGCGCCTGGGTGGCTCAGATGGTTAGGCGTCTGCCTTCAGCTCAGGGCATGATCTCGGGGTCCTGGGATCGAGCCCCATATCAGGCTCCTGGCTCAGCGAGGAGTCTGCTTCTCCCTCTCCCCTGCTCATATTCCCTCTCTCTCTCTCTGTCACATGAATAAAAAAAAAAAAAAAAAAATTAAAAACAAAAAACAGCTGAACTGAAAGCGCCTTACTTTCTCTAAGGACAAACTCAGTCAAAGCCCGGTGCCATGTTTATCTTGGGAATTGAGAAGTGAAATGTGGTCAGGGGAACACCTGTTAACACATTTGTTTGACGTGAAAAGGGAAAATTTTTCTCACCAAGGAAAGTCTAATTTGGTTAATTGGTTTGTCAAAGAGACTGGCGTTGCTAATTTGCATAATTATTATTTACAATAAATTGAGCTAAATCTGCAGCTGCAACTAAAATATATTTAAATTACAGTTAATATTGTAATGCTAAAGATGTGTTGAAATTAACATCTCCAACTTCCCAACTCTTTCTAAATGCCTCTAAGAGAAAGTAATCAGTATAATTAAAAATCACTTGAGAAAGTGAAGGACTGTAATGACAGGATAAATTCTTTTGCTAGACAGATTGTTTCCGTTTTATTTTTTGTTTTTTGCCTTCAACAGAATTAGTAGTAGACCTAATTGAACTGTCAGCTGAGGAAGGAACACTATTTGACTTCTGGCATATCACTCAGAAGGAAACCAAAGAATTGATTGACATTTTTTTAAAGATTTTATTTATTTGACAGACACAGCGGGAAAGGGAACACAAGCAGGGCGAGTGGGAGAGGGAGAAGCAGGCTTCCCGAGGAGCAGGGAGCCGGATGCGGGACTCGATCCCAGGACTCTGGGATCATGACCTGAGCTGAAGGCAGACACTTAACTGAGCCACCCAGGCGCCCAACTGATATTTCTATAACAAAATTACCAGCATTCCCATCTATTTATGTGAGTAGTATTTCTTGGCACTGTATCTATGAAAAGAGAAAATTGAAACTGAACCCTGTTAATCTAGCAGTAAGAAATAGTCATTTAGATACATTCATTAATTGGTGGGGAAGCCCCATCCATCTGACTGAGAGATGCATTTCCAGTACAATTTTACCTTTTATATTTATCTATTATCAAAATTTATAATCGTGCCATTTTGAGCAGCTGTAAATTAAAGATACTTGTAATGATTACTCAACTCAGAATTCTAATACAGAGAGCTATACAATTACAGGAATTTTTTTTAAATTCCCTTAATACATATTTGTATCATGATTAAGTGATCAATAAAAGGTTTTTGAAACATAAAAATTATTTGGATAACATTTTATGGGAGAGTAGAACATAAATATAATGTAGAGATGATAAAAGAACAATATAGAATTACCAAATGTTAAAGAGCTCATTTGTGTGAAAACAGAGCTACCCTATGACCCAGCAATTGCACTACTGGGTCTTTGCCCCAAAGATACAAATGTAGTGATCCGAAGGCGCACACGCACACCAAAGTTTATAGCAGAATGTCCACAATAGCCAAACTATGGAAAGAGCTGTTGATGTCCATCAACAGATGAATGGATAAAGAAGATGTGGTATATATATACAATAGAATATTATGCAGCCATCAAAAAAATGAAATCTTGCTATTTGCAATGATGTGGATGGAACTAGAAGGTATTATGCTAAGTGAAATAAATTAAAGAAAGACAATTATCATATGATCTCACTGATATGAGGAATTTGAGAAACAAGACAGAGGAGCATAGGGGAAGGGAGGAAAAAATGAAACAAGATGAAACCAGAGAGGGAGACAGACCATAAGAGACTCTTAATCTCAGGAAATAAACTGAGGGTTGCTGGAGTGGAGAGGGGTGGGAGGGATGGGGTGGCTGGGTGATGGACATTGGGGAGGGTATGTGCTATGGTGAGCACTGTGAATTGTGTAAGACTGATGAATCATAGACCTGTACCCCTGAAACAAATAATACATTATATGTTAATTTTTAAAAATTTAAAAAGAGCTCATTTGTGTAATTTTAAATGGATGATGATGGCCATTGTTACGTAGAATCTGTTGGATACACTATAAAAAGGGTTTAACAGCTTTATCTTCAAATGTCATTATTTATAGTTTGCCAGAGTTTATATTTATTGTAGCTATTTATATTTATGATGAAAACTTTTTTTGTATTTTTAGAGAAAGAGTGCACACACACACACACACGAATGTGCAGGGGTTGGGCGAGAAGAGGGAGAGGGAGAGAGAGAATCCCAAGCAGGCTCCACAGCCAGCAGGGCTCCAACTCACAACACTGAGGTCATGACCTGAGCTGAAATCAAGAGTTGGAGGCTTAACCGACTGAGCCACCCAGGTGCCCCTATGATGAAAACTTAGTTATCAACTTAAAAATATGAGGGGATAAACATTTTTTCAAAATTCTCTCTCCTTTGGCCTGTCATTGCCATGCCCTCTTCGGTTTTCTTGCTTCATCTGTCTGGGTTCATCCAGCTCCATCCTGCTGCAGTTTGTCCAAAAGCCTCACAGAAACTCCTGCCAACCAAACTTTGTGGCTAAGAGCACAGATTTAGAATCAGGCTGATTGAGTGCCAGTCACAGTTGCACCACATATTAGCAAGTTACTTAATATCTCTGTGCATCAGTTTCTCATCAGTAAAATGAGAGTAATAGTACTTACCACCTCCTATTGTGAGGAACAAACGAGAAAAATCATGTAAAGCTTTTAGCAATGTATCTGGCCCTATAAAGACTAGCTACTAGCTCTCCGTACTTGGGAGAACCTCATCATAGTGTTGATCTGTCACCATGTGTCTGAAGAGATAAGGGAACAGGAAGCTGGTAAGAGGTTTCTCAAGGGAAGACTGGAATTCACTCATTCATTCAATGAATATTGAATATCTGCTAAGTACCAGGCATTATTCTGGGTGCCTGGGATATAGCAGTGAACTAGACAGTGAACTTTCTCTCCTGAAGCTTACATTCTTAGTGGGCTAGGGTAGATGGAGGGGAAGATGGATAATATCCAAATACATAACAGTAAAAATGGAGGAGGTGATAGGTGCTGTCAGAAAAGGCAGGGAAAAGGGGATACAGCATGTTGGTATGAGGGCACCTTCTTTATATGAAATAGTCAAAGAAGGAGCAAAATGGAGAAAGGGCTTGAGAGCTACTTTATCCTTCAGGTTAGATGGGGTGTCTCAGTCCGTTGGACGTCCAACTCTTTATTTCAGCTCGGGGTCGTGGTATTGAGCCCCATGTTGGGCTCCAGGCTCAGTGAGGAGTCTGCTTAGGATTCTCTCTCCCTCTGCCCTTCCCCCTTCTCTTGCTCTCTTGCTCGCTCTCTCAAATAAATAAATAAAATCTTTAAAAAAAAGTTTAAAGTAGTCAAGGAAGACCTCTCAGATTGACATTTGAGCATAAACCTAAAGAAAGTAAGAGAAGAAGCCACATGGGTATCTGGGGAAAGTGTGCCACAGTGAATAGCAAGTGCAAAGGCCCTACGACCAGACAATGGTTAGCATATTTGAGGAATAAGAGGGTGTGGAAAGAAGAGAGTAAGAAGGAGCGGGAGGGCAGATCATGTCAACATGCACAATCCTTTAGTTAAGAACTTGACCTTTACTCAGAGTGAAATGAGAAGCCATTGGAAGGTTTTGAGCAGAGAACTAACATCTCTTTGCCCACTGTGTGGAGAATAAATTGAACGGGAACACAGATGGAAGCAGGGAGTCCAGTTAGGAGGCCATTTTGAGAATCCAGGTGAGAAATGATGGGGGCTTAGACTAGGGTGGTATCAGCAGAGGGAAAATAAAGTATGGAAAGTGAATCATTTGTTCACTGCAGATAGTGTTTGTAAATAGAGGGGCTGGTGTGTGTAAAGACTGAAATGGGAGCCTCAAAACAGATTATTGTCAGCATTTTGCCAAAGGAGACAGCCTGAATTTGGAGGATAAGGATTCTCCTCTCTAGAGTGGTGGACACTGGTGTAGAATAGTTCATCTACCCCATCTAACCTGAAGGATAAAGTAGCTCTCAAGCCCTTTCTCCATTTTGCCTTGATTCTCTGCTTACCACGCATCCAAGTTTCCTTAACTGATGCCCTGGACGTAAGTGCTCTGGTCTCAAGAATGACCGACTCCCCACACTGGGAATGAATATTTGGTGTCAATCTCTTGTGATTGTGGTGTGAATCACACACCCTTTCTGGGGAGCTGAGAGCCAGAAACAAGGTGGCTCCCTCAGTTTCTACAACACTGTGTATCCTCAAAGAAGCAGCCAGCCTGTTTTATCTTCTACATCTAGCTCATTCTATTCTATCTCCCACACAGACTACCATATCTATGTTACTCCCCTGTCTAAAAACCTACAATGATCCATTTCCAACAACATGGTATGACCTTTAAGTGCCTTCATTACCTGACATCAGTCTATTCTTCTAGGCCCTTCTTCTGACACTTCCCTTTGAAATACCCCAGAGATGTAACTAAGACAAGATGACTGGGACTATACAGGAAGACACTGAAATGTAGACAGTGCAAAAAATTGAGACATTGACTTCAATTTTTCCAAATTTCTTTTAATTAAATTTTTAAAAAGTAATCTCTCTACACCCAACGTTGGGCTCGAACTCATGACCCCGAGATCAAGAATCACATGTGCTACCAACTGAACCAGCCAGGTGCCCTGAGAAATTGACTTTAAAAGATTGCATGGCACACCTTCAGCAGCAGAGTTAACAAACTACTCACCCACACTGTCAGATAATGCACATTGTTGGTAACTTCCATCTGTTCTGTTCACCACATCATGAATTAAATCTGACCTGGGATGAGATTAGTGTCTTACCCTGAAGCCAAAATTCTTCACTGTAGCTTAGGAAATAGCCAGTGCTTCAGCCACCCTGAAATTCTCCTGTTCTCCAGCCAAGCCTCCCTCTTTTTTATATGGCTCCAAGGTAATTCGTGAAGCATGAATACCTTCCATTTCATCGTCTGCCCATGTAACCCTTTATGGGACTACTCAGTGTCACTTCCTTAGCAAAGCCTTTCCTGGACCTACTCTGTATTCACCGACCTGTTTTTACACTGAGTACACTGTATTATACAGAGATTGCATTTTAATGCCGTGCACTGGACAAAAATTATGATCAAAATTACCCTCATAATCCCTTAGGAAGATGCCACTAAGGAGATTGTTATATTGTCTCCTGTTGAATAGTACAGCCAGGTTTTTCTTCAGCATGGCAATAAATCACTGTGTCTTTCTTTGCACAAATGAAGTATTTCATTTGGGTGTCAGATACTTACAAAGTATTTCAATGGCTGTATAATCACATTTACTGTGGCAAAAATGCACACACTATAAGGCTTGTGGAATCTGAGAACCACCCGCTGAGGGGATGATCTGCTGCCACCCCCCCACCCCCGTCAGAGTACACACTCATCAAGTGAAATGACGGGTAGGTGCCTCCTTCCCTCCCTGCCAAGCTGGGATTCACAAAGGAGAATTCAGCTGAGTTCAAGATGATGTGATTCCACTGTGTTATATATAACTCCTTGTTCTGAAATTAGCTGCCCAACCAGCCAAACCGGGTGCTCCTGAAACACAAAGGACAGATTCCTAAGGATTATCATAATGCTTAGCCCAGAGTAAGTATCAATAAAAGTTGGATAGAAGTAAAGAGTCCTTTATGTCCACCCCATCCTTGTCCATCTCTGGGTAATTAATGCAGACAGACCTTTAGGCTGAAGGCCAGCACAAGAGCCAGCCTTCCTCTATAGGACAGCACACAGCACTACCCCTCAGCAGCACTTTTTTGCTGTGTTTATTCTATCTAACCCAGCCTCTTCAGCATGGAGCTCAAGGCCATATACCTGACCCACTTTCCCTTCTTTTCCCATGGATCCCAGTTTGGCTCTCCTTTTCTATATGGCTGTTTATGGCCTCCAGCCTACCCAGTGGCATCATCATCTCTGAGACATTTTTGACCACTAGTTCACGCCACATTATCCCACCACACACATAGAAGCCGGGCCCTACTGAATAGAGAGCCAGTCCTTGCAGGGTCATTTCAATATAATTCTCTATCTTTATTGATACACCACCACACACACGAGGGAAAGACAGTGCTTCTCTGGAAAAGATTGGAGTCTGTCACATTTCAGACGTGGACGTGAACCCTGATGTGGGCAAGGGGCTCTGGCAGTCAGAACAGCTGCAGTAAGGCTCTGAGGAGCAATCCCTCTTCGTGGCAGGTTTGTGGGAAATGATCATCCCCTCCAGGTCCTTCACTTTGTTTTCCACTGCCTGAAGTTTTTTCAAAATTCTCTCTTGCAGACCCAAGGACAGAAAGAGATTATTGTCTTGAATTGGGAGATGATTCCCTTCTGGGCTGACCAGCAAAGCCTGAAAAAAATCTGAGCCCTTCTTGTAAAGTTTGTAGAGGGTGATTACAAACAACAATATTTTCTAAAATAAAACAACAGAAGTTGAACGTTACTTGTTTATTCATGGGAATGCCTCAGATTCAAAGCAAAAACCTAGTAGTAACAATAATCCCTCATTCCTATGCCAAGCCTTCTGTTTAGCAAAACATCTTCATATCTATTTTGTCTTTTGATCTTTATCACAAAATAGAGTGACAGGCAGGTCAGGGATTGTTATTTGCATTTAATTAATAAAGATGATAATAACAGATACCATTTGCTAAAAATTTGCCACACGCATGGCTCTGTGCTAGGAGGTTGTTTTGCCTACGAATGACCTATTTATGTAGAAAAAGCCCAGAACTGGGTAACCATTTAAATACCTTCCCGTTTGGACCCTAACATTGTCCAAGCTCATATATTTGGAAATGACAGAACCAGGACTGAAATCCAGGAATTCTGACTTCCATGTAAGTTCCCTCAGGACACTGTGGTCTGAAAAACTGTATTTCCTGGTCATGGGGAAAAACATTTTTTAAAAACGACCTAGGACAGATTCCTGTCAGGAGAAAAATTAAAAACCAATCATCTTTTTTCCTTATTATGATAACTGGCACTGTTTATTGAGCATTCATTGTGTGCTGAGCTTTCTACACACAGTATCTCCTTTAACCCTCATAACCACCGTAAGGGAGGGACTGTTGACAAACCCATCTTACAGATAAGGAAAGTGGGGTTTTGGAGGCTGGCTGCTCTCAGTTCACACAGCAAGTGATGGGACCAAGGTTTGTACCCCAGCAGTCCAACTCCAGAGCCCATGCTATTAATCACTTGTTATACTACCTCTTTCTTGGCTGAGGTGTCTGGAGGGCTGCAAATTCATCTAATTGAGCTGAACATTAACCAAACAAGAGCAGAACCGAGAATTACAGTAATAGCTCTGTTTTGTTTTGTTTTGACCTTATATTCTTCTATTAGCTAATTGAAATGTGTGTGTACCCACATATCCCTGTTGGGGATTTAGGTTAGTTGGATTATAGTAAATGAGATTTTGGAGAAGATTTGAATTTGGAATCCTAAAAATTAGGTTCAAATCTCAGATTTGCCAGTTTTTACAATCTATGTCAACTTGGTTCAATGATAACAAAGTTCCCTCACCCACAAGATGGATATGATACTCTCTGCCTTGCCTACCATGCAGGGTTTTGAAAGGTTAAGAGAATGCATGTGACCATAATTCCTTGACAATAGTGATATATGAAAAGTGAATGCTACAGAATGATCCATGCAGGGTTTTGAAAGGTTAAGAGAATGCATGTGACCATGATTCCTTGACAGTAGTGATATATGAAAAGTGAATGCTACAAAATGATCCAGTAATAACTTCTCTCAGCATTTACCAAGTAAACTTTAAGAAAGTCCTTTTAAAATCCTACCCCCTTAGATTTCCACTGAACCTCAATGCACCTGTTTCCTTGTTTGTCATATGAAAATAACCTCTATCCATTTCATGGAATTGTTGGGATTCTAAAAGCATTTTGACTATATTGTAAATATAGCTATTATTGCTGGTGATTAAACTATTAAGTTATTATTGGTGATTAGAAGTATGTAAAATCCTAAATGTTTCTTACAATCCCAACCAATTATACTCCTATTCCCAAAAAGAACCCCTGTATATTTACTGAGCCTGATATTGTTAAAACAAAGAAATAATGAAAATATTGTGATGCCTAAATGAATATACATGCCTTGCCATCGGTTACAGAACAATGTCACAGTAAGAACAGAAAGGCCAAACCCAAGATCCCAATTATATTTGTAATGCCTATTCTTTTAAAAGGTACCCCTCATGGTGTCTGGCACATAGTAGAAAATCAAAGATGAGTATGTGATCATATAAATTTGGGGTTAGGCTGCCTTCTCAGTTTATGAACTTGTTTGATCTATTTTATTCTAGAACAAGCCGAAGACTACTGTGAGAAAGAGCATTTTATGCTCAAAACCTAATTGGTAAAGTTTTTAAGGTTAACCTAGTTTCAACCAATTTCAGAGACTAGGGTTTATCTTTGCTCATCTGCATGATTTTAAAACTGGGTAGCACAATGCAGGAGAGAGCTAACCAAATTTCAATTTAGAACTATTTAAATTCCTCTGTAACAAAAGAGTATAACCTGAATTGACTGAACACTTCGTTTCCATAAGGCATATACTCCTATTCCCAACAAAAGCAAAAAGGAAATCCCCAGGATAACTTGCACAGTTGGAGCAAAATTATCTAGTAGACCCAAATTTGTTTGCTGAGGTGGACTAGTCTCTCCCAGAAGACTTGCTTGTAGCCAATTCCATATCGAGCTCAGAGAAAGATAATCTATGATGTTGTCCCAGACAGATGAAGGAAAAGATGTTGACATTTTAATAAGACAGCAGCTCCAGGAACTACATGTAGAGAAGCTTCAGGAACCTAGATACGAGTTAGGGAGAGTGGCCTGGAGCCCAGGTGTTCTAGAGCCAGTGAACTGTGCATTGTGATGTCACTGTTCTAAAGGTCAGCTTGCTTCCCACTCACCCAGTGAACTTTCTCACTCCAAACCAACCAGACATGGCCTGGATTTTCAGTTCAGTCATATTGCTTTCCTTGATCTTTGGCAAGTTCTAGCTGTAGCACAGCACTGTCCAATAGAACTTTCTGCAATGATGGAAATATTCTCTATCTGCTCTGTCCAATATGGTAGCCACTAGTCACTTGGAATGTGAATAGTGTGGCCGAGGAATTGAATTTTACATTTAATTTTAATTACATTTAAGTAGCCAATGTGGCTAGTGGTTACCTTCTCAGGGAGTGTAGATATAGAAGATTTCCAATGATACATGGAAGGGACAGCAATTATTTTCACATGGCAAATGAGAAAACTGAGGTTAAGTGGAGATTTGAGGAGAGAATTTAAAGAAATCTTTCCTAAAGAATGAATAGTTTACTTGGTAAATGTGTAGGGAGGTTATTACTGGATTATTTTGTAGCATTCCCTTTTTTCACATGTCACTATTGTTTAGAAATTGTGATCTTTGAGAAGACTAAACATATTTGAGCCTCATTTTGCTCATCTGGTTACAGATGGGGATTCCACATCCTTTGCAAGGTTTGTATCAGAAACAGATGGTGTAATTTTCTAAACACTTTGTGAACTGTAGTGTGCTGTATAATAACTTATATGACATGTTATCAAATCAATTATTTACTGACTAGTACCTATATACATTCAGCAAGGAGGTATGAAAATACAGTATCTACGGTCTGTACCCAAAAAACTTGTAAGAGTTCACTCAACGTGTATATTCTAAACTGAGATCAATTGTGAAGACAGCAAGAATCCAAAAGAGGGTTTGCACCAATAGGAGGGGAGAGGCAAAAAGGAAGAGGAGAAGGGGCGCCTGGGTGGCTCAGTTGGTTAAGCGACTGCCTTTGGCTCAGGTCATGATCCTGGAGTCCCAGGATCGAGTCCCAGGATCAAGTCCCGCATCGGGCTCCCTGCTCAGCAGGGAGCCTGCTTCTGCCTCTGACCCTCCCCCCTCTCATGTGCTCTCTCTCTCTCATTCTCTCTGTCTCAAATAAATAAATAAAATCTTTAAAAAAAAAAAAAGGAAGAGGAGAAAAGGTTATGACAATTTTTAGAAAAACACTGTCTGATGCTATTCCAATTTGTTCATTCTGGTTGAAAGAACAGTAACAGGGAGGCTTGGAATAGGAGGAATGGTTGTTTTGTTCTTGTAGGAAGTGGTATGACAAGTTGCTTGGGGTGTCAGAGACACATCCAGAAAAAGGAGTCTAGAGTGCTGTTGGAAATGCAGTACTTATGTCAGGGTGAAATGACCTACTGATATATGACTGACTGCTATTGATGTTAGACCCACAGTCTGCTAGTGAGTGACAATAGTCAGAATCCTTTCTAGCAAGGAATAAAAGTGACTCAGATAAGACTCTGGATTTGGCTATTACAGGTTATCATTAAAGAATGGTAACCAGAAACTTTTTGGAGAAAGATGGGGCTGTGACAACTAAATCATTACTTGAGACTCTCAATACTAGATTAGATCTCCCTGTTACATGGCACCTTACACTTTCCTTTCAAAGCATTTAACCCAGTTATAGTTATTTGTGCAATTTTTGATTTAACATGTCTTCCCTGACTGTTGTAAACTTAAGAAAGACAGGGACCATGTCCCTTTAATTGGCTACTGTATCCCTAGGGCTTGGCACATAGCGGGCATTAAATAAAATATTAGGTGAATGCAAAGTCCCCTGGAAGAATTCTAAATACCTTTATGGCCTAAACTGTTCATTCATCAAGTGCCTATTACCCTATTTGTGTACTTGTTCGGATAGAATCTTTACAGAGTAGCTGTTAAGAGCATAGGCCTTTGGGAGTACAATGGATCTGGGTTAAAATTTTTGACTTTCCTGCTCACTAACTTTGTTACCTTGAGCAAATTTACTTAACCTGAACCCTAATATCTTCATTAGTGAAGTGGGAGTAATTCCTACCTTGTAGGCCTGTAACGAGAATTTGATAATTTGTATAAAAGAACAAGCTACCCGTATAGATAAGTGCAACTATTATTTGTAGTGACATCCATGACCAAATACAAGGTATTGTCAATCTCAATTGTGTATGGTGCCTTAAAAGAATCTAGTCCAAAAAGCCCATTTATAGTTTGACTCCCTTCTTAGATACCTGAAAACCTCCAGTGAAGAATTATCACTATGCAAGGCATCTCAGCCCACCTTTAGACAGAGTCATCTATCCATCTATCCAGCCAACCAGCCAGCAGTCAGTCACTTCCACCCAGTAGTCTTCCACATCAGACCGTATTAGGACTGGCATACATACTCTAACTTATGACTCCTGCAGTGCCTACTTTCATGGCTTCAGAAGGTTCTTCATGGCCTTTCAGACAAAATCCAAAATCTAGAAGCTGGTTACATGGCACTAAACTACCTGGTTGCTGTTTACCTACCCAGCCTTCTCTCCTTTCCCCTTCCCATTTTGACTCTCAGCACTAGCTATACCAGACTTGTCAATGTCATGAACACACCACAAAGCCTTTGCACATAATAGGATTATCCTCTCTGGCTAATTCCTACTGGTTCTTCAGGTTGCAGTTCTAACATCGCTTCCTCAAGGAAGCTTTTCCTGGACTTTTTTGAGGTCCCATCACCGCCATAGCTTCTTAGTAGCACTTCATTTGTAGTGTTTTGTTTATTGTCTATCTTCTTTACTAGACTATAACCTCCACAATGCAGGAAACCTACTGTGTCATGTTCAACACCGGGAGCTAGCAGATGGTACGTGCTTAGTGAATATTTGGCTATCTTTCCTGTGCTTCCAGTCTTCTCTACTTTCCAGGCTAAACCTGTCAAATACAGGTTGACAGGTTTTTAAATCTCCTATCCTGGTTACCTTTCTCAAAGTGGTTCGGACCTCCAAATGCAGTCTGTCACAGAATCTATTCCTGCAGGTGTAAACCAAGCAGGTTAGATTAGAGTGGGGCACTCTTTCCAGACTCAGCTCTACCTAAGAGGAGGCTTTGCCCCGGAGTTAGGAGTATAAAGCCAGGAGGCATCACAGTCTATTGTGGGGGTGGGAAGTGGGGAGAAGGGACTGAGCAACTCTTCTTTTACAAGTTTCTCTCAGGAAGAAAAATGGACTCACAGAAACAGTATGAACCAGTTTTCCTTTCTTTCCTCAAATGAGAAAATGTCAATAATAGATGTGTGATTGGAATTGGATCTGCATGACCTGGCTTTTACTTATACTTCAAACTTTATTTCCCATTATTCACTTCCACAAACAATATACTCAATTACAGAACTATGGTTTTTTGGTACTTCTTTAAATGCCACTTGCAACTTCCAATGTTCTTCCTTCACATTAAGTTCCCCTCTCTGATATCAAGAAATTGGGAGACTAGGCTCTGCCTATTCCCAGTTTTTTTTTTTTTTTTTTAATATTTGACAGAGAGAGACACAGTGAGAGAGGAAACACAAGAAGGGGGAGAAGTAGGGAGCAGGGAGCCCGATGCGGGGCTCGATCCCAGGACTCTGGGACCATGATCTGAGCTGCAGGCAGGCGCTTAATGACTGAGCCACCCAGGCGCCCCCTATTCCCAGCTTTTATCGGCAACTCAAAACACTTCACCCTTAAGTTTTTATCTGTCAAATGAGGGTAACAGTACCTACTTCATGAAGTTATGAAAATTCAACAAGATAATTTTATGTGAAGTGCTTTTAAAAAAGTATAATTATCCTGAATTCTCACAGTACTTTCCACTTTGTTCTAGTCATTGCTTCACAGATTTTTCTGTGCCTATGAATCATCTAGGAGATTTTACTAAAATGCAGATTTGGGGCGAGAAGGTCTGGAGTGGGGCCTGGCCTGACATTCATCTCTAACAAGCTCCGAGGTGATGCCCATGCTGCTGGTCCACTGCCACACTTTGATTAACAGTGTTTAAGCTACCCCAGCCCTCACATGAAAGCTCCACACTGGCAGATGCCTTGATAAATTTACTTTGGTATTTTTATCTCCCAAAGCATCTGAAACTGTCTCTAAATAGGGGTGCACTTAAATATTTGGTTAATGACAAATTCCATCCTCCAGTGACTATGTTCTTGGCAATGCAGGTCAGAAGTAGGCAACCTGGGACAAAGAAGAGGACAAATTTGGGATGGAACCTCTAGGAATACTATCAAAAACTTTCTTCTCCATCATTCCCCACCCTCTCTCTTTCACAGGTGTTCATGAACATGGGGAAACCCTGAAACAAGAGAATCCTGGGCAAAATGATAGAATGAAAGTGTCTGGCACACCCTTATACCCACCATTTAGAGGGCATTCTTGAATTTAAAAAGGCTCCGAGGGGCACCTGGGTGGCTCAGTCAATTAAGCCTCCAACTCGATTTCAGCTCAGGTAGTGATCTCAGGGTCATGGGATAGAGCCCTGCATGGGGCTCCATGCTCAGTGCTGAGTTTGCTTGTTGCTCTCCCGCTGTTCCTCCCCCTGCTCTCTAATAAACAAAATCTTTAAAAGTAAAAATAAAAATAAAAAGGCTTTAAAAACGAAGTCAATGCTTCCAGGTTTGGACCAGCATTGGGACAAATCCCAAAGACATATCAAGTAAAAATGATAGTACTAAAACCTACAAAAATAGCTCTGACCTTCTGTATTATCATAGAACTGCACATGCTGTGTTTGACATAAAACATTGTCTTTGATAAAAATCAAATGAAGCAAGATGCTCCAACTGGAACAGAAAGTAATCTTATGATGAACCATTTTGGCTTGTACTTGAAGCAAACTTTCAGTAGAGTTCTGAAAATTAGGATTTGGTTCCATTACAAATGACTCACTTGGTCCTTTCAGGGGTAGAAGTTAGGAGTAGTTGAATGGATGTAGTTCAGTCTTAAGCAATTAGCAACTTTCTCTTGTTCTGGGCTAAGAATCTCTAGTATAAGGAATTTTAAGAATGAAGCCACCAGATGTTTCTCATACTCACATCATAGAAAGTGATTTTTCAAGAGGATATCCCTTATCTCCTCACTTACAGGTGAGGAAACTGAAGCCCACAGAAATTAGCTAAAGGTCCTCAGGAGTCAGTAGTAGCCTTAGCCTCTAGGATGGTCCACGGTTTCTGCCACTTTTTGAACAGATTGAGAACCCCCTGTTACCTACTAGGATCTGAACTAAGAAACCACTTGGGCATGGGGCAGGGGTGTGCTTTAGACTTACGGTA